CTGGCAGGAGACACTCGGGCTGGAGCGCCGGTGGCTTACAGGCCTTCCGCCCCTCACCCCTGCGCTAGCTGTTGGGCTGTCGAGCTGTTACTAACAGTCGAGCTGTTAATAAACTGCCGGTATCAAAGGTAGAGGTTTAAACGCCGAGGTTAAAGGGGAGAGTTTAAAGTGAAAGTTTGAGGTGCCGTGTCCAGGAAAAGCTGTGTTGTCACTGGCCTAATGAAGGTAAACGTCCCCAGCAAGGCACTGCTGACGGGAGGGTACGTTTCTGGCTGACGCGGGGGTGCGTTACGTCTGCGTGCACAGTGCTGTGCGTTATCACCTTGCCTACAAGGTGGCTTTTTGTTTTCTTGTCTATTTTTTTATTTTCTCTTAAACTTTTTATTTGCAACCTTATGCATTAATCAGCTTGTTTTTCACTGTCTGAGCATAGATACTGCTTTTTCTGTCCCGGGCATATTTGGGAACTGCTGCATTGTACAACGATGGGGTATTGCCCATCAGCAGGTCAGCATTAGTTACCTGCGTGGCTGTGGTTTTTGGTCATTCTTCTTACAAATACGCTCTGAGGAGCTTTTTTCTCATCCTATCCTGCAAATACTAATTTCTGTGCAGTCTGCAGACTTTCTGAGCCTCCCTTTAGCAGGCGAGTTGAGAATGTAAGGAGAGGTATGTTTGCAGGATGGTTTTTAGCAAGAAAATCTTTGCTGTGTATTTGTATAAGTTTGGTATGTAATACTTATATTTTTCATACAAGTGCTCATAAAAATGTTACGTTTGAGTAGGGAACTGAGACTTCTAGTTGTATCAATAGAAAAAATGGAGCAAAAGCCTGATCACTGTTTTAAAGGTTGTACAATAAATATATATGAAGTGATTTTAGTCTCTTTTTTTCCGTTGGAAAAGGAAAACGGTGTCCCTGGCTTTAGAAGATGATGGTGTCGGTTTATTCAAGTATAAGGAGGCCTAATACATACTGCTCATCAGATCTTGAGCAAGTCAGTCCTTGTGTCTCTTTTCCTGCTGGTAAACTGACACGGATACTACTTTGGTTTTTAAAGTGCTTTGAGATCTGATGGTGGAAGGGCATTAAGTAAATCTTTCAATTAAGATGAAGGGGAGAATGCCAACAAGTTGCTAGAACTTGTGTTTTATTTAAGGTGGTTTAGTGACTGGACTTAGAACTTTCACTTTACAAATTGCTGCTAACAGTACAGTAATTAGTGATGGTCTTAAACTGGAATACTCCTTTCCTACAGCTCTAAGCTTTAAAAGAAGGCTTGTCTTGTGTATTCCAGTTGAGAATTGCCCCCCTTAAGAGTTTTTATCTCTTCCTGCCTTAAGGCAACTGAAGTGATAATTTTGTTTTGTCTTCCAGAGCTGTAAGAACATGAACATGATGCCTGGTGGTTTCAATATTGTCTCTTTGTATTGTTTCTTTTTCTGAACTGTCATTTCAGGAAAATGATCTCTGTAACTTTCATTTTGATTTGGATTTGATGTCTTGGGACTCGGATCTTTGGAATATTACAGGTCATGCTTATACAGGTAATTTACATTTTGTATTTTGCAGGTGTGACTATTCTTGCCCTCCCCCTGCAAGGGTGAGCTGTTAGAACTTCATGATAATGATAACTTATGTGAAACTATTTGATACCCTGCAGCATTTAGCTCTGTGATGAGGAGTCATGCTCTGTTTCTGTAGGATGGGTACAGCTGGCAAGGACTGCCCTACAAGCCGAGCTGTTTAGTATCTTTAATCTCACTATGTTTTCTGCTGTGCCTTCCTTCGGGAATTAAATAGCTGGTATAAGGCAGCATGTTCTTTACTGATCTCCCATTGTTAAACACTTGTACAGTAACATTTCTTTATCTGCCTCTTGCAGATGCAAGCGTGAAGACAGAACCTTTATCACCGGCTACTTCAAATTGTTCAGTCCCTTCTCCATCATCTGTGGACTCTCCAGTGCAGAATGTGCCTGTATGCAGAAACCTCCATGTAACACAGATAGCAACAGCCATTCAGAACCAGCTGTGACAAAAAGCCCAGTGATTTACTTGCCTGACCAACTTTATGGCATAAGAGGAAACAGCTTATTTTTTCCAGCCCTTGCAAAACCAACTTCCCTTCAGTGATGTTTTCTTTCCTCTCCTGCTGTGACCCATTCTAAAAAGAGCATGTTCAGTTCTTTTTCCTCAGTTGTGTGTATTGGCCTGGTTGACAAACTAATAACTTGTAAAGTCTAGCAGTTGCTGGCCTTTGCCCCCCTTCACTCTGCTGATAAGGAGAGGTACTTCTTTGGTTTTCAGTGGTACTTAGCATTGACTAGAATAAAACTGCAGAAAAAAAACTTTCTCCTGTTTGCTGAAGCCAGCAGCACAGATGCCATGAAAGGCCGTTATATTGTGAACTGCTAGTAGACACTTCTGTGTGTTTCTGAAGCATTAATCTCATGTACTTTCTGTCTGCAGGATGATGTGGACTTCAGCTGTAGCTCCCAGATGTCCCCCATCTCTCTTTACAGCAAGAGTTGCAGAAGCCCTGCATCCCCCGAAGGAGATGGAGGGAAGAAGCCTACTGTCAGCATCACTTCCCGGTCTGGTATGAAAGGTTGAGCTACTTTGATTCTGCAGATAGTATGCATATTGTCTTGCTTATGGATGTTTAACTAACAGACACTAGTATATCCTGTCATTTCTGAGTTGAATTTGTCATCGGATGTGTCTATTTTTAACAAATACTATAGATGGGTAAAAAAACCCAACAACATACTAAAAGCCATGTTATTACTGCTTGAATTTTTTATTTTATATCTTCTGATCCGACTCTGACTCTTTTTCCTTTCCTAGCAAATAATTCTGTGAGGATCCTGAAGAGGTGTGGTCAGATAGCGTCCAGGCCTTCGATACAACCCAAACCCCTTTTGCCTGCTGTACCTGAGGCTCAGGCTAACATTGGCATTCCAGCTAAAACCATCATTATTCAGACTGTTCCCACGCTTGTGCCACTGCCAAAGCATCAGCCAGTTGTTAACATCCAGCCAGCACCCCCTAAAGGTAGGTGAATTGTCTTGACTGAGCCAGGTCTTGGGGGTAAAAACCATGTCTGTTTGGGATGGTTGCTAGAGTGAAGTTAGCTTTGGCAGGTGAAATGGGAGGGGTAGGAAAAAAAAAGAAGGGTCCTATGCGCTTTGCTGAAAAAGCTTTACGCTGAGAAGATGTATAGTTCTATGAGAAAGGGCACTCATCCGAGCATTGTGTAGAATGGAAGACAGTACAGCAAAAGAGACTGTGCTGACCACTGGCAGTTGTGGAGGTAAAACTGCTGATTTGGAAGGATCTCTAGGGACTCTTTGCTCTACTTGTGATGGCAAGTGGTGCTTGCAGTGGTGGTTGCAGTGCTCTTCCATTATAACCAAGGGAAAACCTAGCAGAATCAGTTAGGATGGCTTGAATGAAGCTTGAAAGCTTGGGAGGAGTGGTAAAAGCTTTTTTTTTACCCATATGACACTCTGCCACAGGATGGTGGGAACATGAGTGTAGGGCTTTTTATCTCACTAAACAGCATTAAATAGGATGTTGTGAAATCTGCTAAGAGTTGAGAGCGCCGTGTCAGAGGTTAGAATAGTTGCAAGCTGATGTTAACAAGATGCAAGTGATTTCTGGTCCACTGATAATTCTTCATTCCTCCTGTTGCCCTGTAACAGATTTTTTGAAGTAGCTTGAGCCTTCATTTATGAATCCCAAGCACTATTTTACTATTCAGCTAAGGCAGTAGGGACATGACTTGGATTGCTGAAATTGTCCATTGCAGTTGCTTGTTTTCACCAGCTGATGGCTGCAGTCTCTTGCAGCTGACTGTGCAGGCACTGAGGCGTGGAAGCAAAAGGAGACAAATACTTGAGGGCATTTATCTAGAAATTATTGCAATAGTGAAAAATTTGTCTTCATTGCTAATTGCTATTCCATCAGGAGTTAAGCCAAAGCTGGAGATGCAGACATTTGTTACAACATGCCTAAGATTGTTGCACTGCTTAAAACACAGGTCAGCACAGTCAGAGTGACCTAATTCTTATTCCTTCTGATGTTCCATCTGATAAAATACCATCTGGAACAAAGAATGTTGTGGATACGGATTTTTTGGATACAAGTATAGTACACTGTGAAGATCAGCTTCTCCTTTTCCCCGAAGAAAAGTCAGGAGAGTAGTTTCTGTGAGGCACTATAGAGGAAATACTTTTGGGAAAAGTATTTCTATGCCATGTATTTACTTTAAGTGATGGTCTGTTTAAAAATCCTACAGTGCTGCTTCCAAAACAAAAACCAAGAGGGAGGATCTTTTTTATTAATTAAAATCCCCTGCACATGAGAAGTTGGAGCTACCAGTTTGAAATATGCTGTTATCTTTAAAGGAGCATGAGGAATTATATTTTCACAATCCCTTTCATAAAAGCTTAAAGAAGAAAGCATGATCTTGGAGCATTGCATACTTTATACATTAAAAAAATTGTTGAAATAATCTCAAATTCTCCATTTGAGGTTCTCGAGTAGGGTAGTACAAAGTTATGATGTCTTCAAGATTATCTCTGCAAAAAAGAAGTTCTAATCCTACACCTCATACATTAAAAGATCTTGGTGTTAGGTAAATGACTTCATTTTTCACCTTACAGAAGGTTGGGTAAATGCTGTAATACATCATTGTGCATTTTGGTTGGAATGCTCAACTGGAACATGCTGTTTCTGAAAGCTGGCAAGGTTTTTCTGTTACAAAGGATTAAAGAGACGTTCATGTGTTTTCAGACAACAAAGTATTACTCAAGCACCTGCTTGAGTTAAATGTAGTTGTTGGACTGAAATTTCTTGCAAGTGACTGTTTTAAATTCCATTTCAAACTCAAAATTACCTCATTTTTTCTGCCTGCTTTTCTTTAAGCTCTGTTCACCTTATGCATAAAATTTCTTACATAAGACATTTTTCAAAAAAAATGGTCTTGTCTTAGTGTGAATTGAGGCTTTAGCTTATGTTTTGAAAGTGTAACTTGCATTGTTCTGTCTCATTTATTTTCTTTCTCTATGCTGTTTCTGAATTGGTTTGTATAGTATGAGTCAATTCTGTGTGGTAAGTTTTCCACTGAATACAGCAATAAAGTAGGGATTGACAAAAGGAAGAAGGAGGATTGAGGTAAGCTGGCTAAGTTCTTTGAAAAAGTTGCTCAAAGTGCATCAATTGTTAAAAATACTACTCATTTCAGTATTGCTAACAAGTGTTGACTTCTGTTAACTTTGAAAAGTCATCAGGTTTTGGGAGCAAGCTTGATTTAGTGTATCCCTTTAATATGTGTAGTTTTGGCTTGCAGGATGGATTAAGAGCCTTGCAAACCTGTGAGCTTTCTTTCCCCCCCAGCCCCATCCTGTGGAATGTATTAATGCTGAAGAGTTGGACTTGAGGTAAATCATGCAGGACAGACAGGAGAGGAAGCAAGGCTTTCTACATCCTATATCAGTATTTACCTACAAACTGGTCATGTACAAAACCCATTTCATATCATATGCTGAGCACTCCTGTTTGTTCTTGTGTTCTAGGTCAATCGGTGGTGCTCCCCCAGCCCGCTGTGGTACAGCTCCAGGCTTCTGGGGTGCTTCCTGCCTCCCAGCCAGTCATTGCTGTCACTGGAGGGACCACGCAGCTTCACAACCATACAGTGAATGCCTTGCCTCCGGCTGCTGGAAACGGCTCAACAAGCGGCAAAATACCAGTGACTAAGCCCTTGCTGCAAAGCAGCACAACGGCAATGGGACTGGATGTAAGTTCTGACTGCCTGATGATAGCTAATAACCAAAGCTTGGAAACAGTTTTCAGTCACCTGCATATGGGATATAATGTGAGAACCAGGTCACTTTAGCATCTCAGGAAGACAGAGCTGTAGTTGGGCTCATCGAACAGGATTTCTAACAGTAAACAGGGAGTTGTGCAGCTTGGCAAAGAATGGGGAGGAATGGCTTGATATCTGTTGGCCTGCTTGGAGATGCAGACCAGGTATGCAAGCATTGTGGCAGAAGACAGTGCTGATCCCCCCCGCCCCGTCTTTGCTTGTCTTCTCAACTGCAAGCTCTCAGTGGCTGGAGCTCTCTTACATACAGGAAGATTTGATATAGCTGATTTTTGATTAGGGCTAACCCATTTTTCTAATCCGTATAATAAAAACACTCCTTTGTAAGTAGATGCATTGGAAAAGTCAGCAGTAGGCCTGGTTCTTTCTCCATCCCCTTTATCTCCCCAGATTTTACTCATGATTTTTAGAAAATGCAGGTATTGAGTTTCATATAATCCTAATCTCTTCAGGCTTCCTTTTGATTGTATACTGAATGGCTAGAAAAGGAGTAAGCTCTCAACAGTAACTGTGCAAATATGTTTTTCCATGGTAGCTCACACTGTATTTCTGTGTAAACAGAAATAGCTTTTGAGATGTATGGGTTTTTTTTTTCCTCCTTCAGCTTTGACATCTCAACTAGGTAGCAAGTTGAGTATTAACTTGATGTAGTTCCTAGTAGTTTGGAGCTGCTTTGGTTGCATTTTGTTGTCCAAAGGAAGGCATGGTTGTGGAAAGTGCTGAAGCTTCTTGTTGTGGCTTTTAAACTTTCAGGGTGTCATCCTCCAGTGTGGTATTCCCAGCGCAGTTGTTGTGAGCTGAGCGTCCTACCACATCCCTCAGTGTGAGGGAGAAAACACTGGTGTCCATTCACATGAAATTTTGCAGTATAGTCACCTACTTATTAGCAGCACGGGACACTTGTTTCTCAAAGGCGTGTGCTTTCTGGCTTCTTCGGAGAGATGTTGTTATATGGATTCCCAGTGTCTGAGAAGTGCCACTCATGCTTGATGTTGCATTTTCCTCACTATTCATGTTTGTGTGTGGGCTGCATTTTTAAATGAAAAATTATTTGCGACAAATAATTCAGCAGCCAGACTGCAATGGAAACATAATCTTGAATTTGCAAGAAGCTAACAAAGGTCTGTCAGTAGACAGACCAGTTAAGAGCGCTGAATTTTTAAATAATAATTGCCTGCCAGCAAAGCCAGACTAAAGCTACCTGTCAGCCGTCCTTAGATTTGTGACTCCCTGTAATCAGGACTAGCATTGCACCTTGCCATTGTCTGAATATAAGGTTTAATTGACAAACCCCCCTTATTGTCATCATGCTTCATATACGCATCTGTGACAGTCAGTAGCCAATTGTGTAGCTGGGGTAATGAATAGCTATTTGTTCTGCATGATGGTTGTGTGGATAGGGAGATGCTGCACATCTTACCTGTATTTATTGAAATGTGAAAAAACAGTTGCAACTGCTCTTTGGCACACACTGTGAAATAGCGCTTTGAAAAAGAACAAATGTTTCAGGATGCAGCTGGCGCCAGCAAGGTTAAAACATCTTGCGACTGCCATAGACGCCATATGTGGCACTCAGAGCTGCGCAGATGTAGCTGTCATTTGAGCTCTGTAACATGTGTTTTTGTTTGCTAATCTAAGCAGATGTTGCAGGATAAAAAGAAACACTGCAGGACTTTCTTTTGGGTTTAGGAGGTATAAACTGTTAGCTTAACACTCAGCCCTTCCAGTGGATTAGGCTGAGATTGGCTGATAGCAAGCTGTATGCGTGAGGCTCTGTTATGTTTGTCCTGATGGCACACGTTTACGAAGCTGCCAGCTACAGGGAAGTGCCCAGGCTTTCAGTGCGGTCGGTCTTCACTAGGAAATTGGTGGAGAACTTTTGAAGAACTTTCCACTAGGATATTGGACAAAAGAAGCGCTGACTAAGCAAGCCACTCTTCTGGTTGAAGGAAGGAGGCTCTTAACTAAAAAAGCAGATTGCCTTTCCTGTTGCAGTTAAATTATATGGAACGTAAATGGTAGGTGTGTGAGAGAAACCAGTTTAGTTGCGTCCTTATAGGGTCTTTCTCTCATGTGTCCACTGTGTAGTGAGAAAGGATTCTGCCTCCTAGTTCTGTTGATAAAATACCTTGAAAATTTAGAAAAAACAGGTTATGCAAAATTACTTCAACATAAGTGTAGATTTCTATTAAAGAATCCTGTTTTTTGTGCTGTATACTGGGTAATTCTCATATGAAATAAACTCATGAGTCAAGTTGTGTTCTATTGCATTAGAGACAAAAAACCCCAGATCTTTCATAAGAACAGAGAAAATGCTTGCATAGGTTTTGTATTCCCACATTCAAGATACATTTTTGAAGACAGCAGCTTTCATAAGCTGAGGTAAGAAGCCAGCCAATGTAAAATTGAAATGGTTTGTACTTTCAGCTCTTTCTTAACTTTCCCAGTGTATATACCAAAAACTCTGTGGAGTGTGAGACATTCTGACCAACTTGTCCTAGAAATACAGCTTGCATTGGAATGGAGGTTAAATTTTCCTCAGAACTGTGTTTTCCTTGGAAGACTAAATTGAGGTAGCAGTGTTTACTTGTAAAGTGCATGACTATTTGCAAAGACTCTGAAGACAGAGGACAATATGAATCTAGTTAGTACTGTTTGAAGCAAGGTTACAACATCTTTTTTGTGTGTGTCTGTTAGTGATGGTGTAGTTTTTAAAGCTAGGAAGGAAAAGTTGCATCACTGATTAATGTTTGATTTTAATTCCAATGTTTTCCCTTTATGGTCTGTGTTTCCTGCAAACCACAAGTTACTATCTTGAGTGGTAAATTAATATAATACAGCCTACAGAGGGAGGCTGCAGAAGAAGTTAGAAGAGATGTTTGCTGCATTTAGTCTTTGTTCAGCACTTGTGCAAAGGAGTGTTGCTCAAGCAAGGGGCATGCTTATCTTTATGCCAAGCCAGCTATGTAATCCTTAGTGCCATACTGCTTCCAGGTTTAAGCATTGTTGCACTATTTCGCACACACAACTCTTTCTGTTTCCTGTGTCAGATTTAGGTAGCATCGGGTGTGCAGTGTACCTTATTCTCCAAGAACAGCCAGGCAAGCTCTAGAGGGTTGACCAAGGACCTTAAACTGTTTTAGGGGTTGTCAATTAAAACAAAATGTTTCAAGGACACAAATAGTTGGGTTTCGTTTAAGCAAGCTTCAGAAATGAGCAGAAGTGAAACTGGTGGGCATAGACTGAAATGCAGTTATTGCGCAGAGTACCTTGAATCGGGCTGGGGAGAGCTGCTGTTCCTGACAGCATTTGGAGAATGCTGAGTAAAGGAGAGCGGGCTAGATAAATACCATCTGAAACGTAGCTGGTAGTGCTGAAACAGCAATAGATGCACCTTTGCATGTACTCTTAGTGTACAAACACTGCACTGGTGATTTAACTCCATGTTTTCTCCAGGGAAGCAGGTAGATTTGCCAGAGGTTCCAGACACTCAGTCAAAAGCTATCCAGTAGTAAATAATCCTGACCAGGTCTGCAGACAAGAATGGGTGTAAACAATTTAGTCTTCACTGTTTGATTTCATGATGTAAAATCTCTTTTTAAAGAGAGGAACGTAACTACTTGTTTGGAATATCGCACAACTCGAGCCAAAGCTGCTGCATTCCTTATTATTTCATCTCTGGACAGTTCAAGTGATGCTGGCCCCAAACTGGTGTGTTCCATGCACTGCAGTCCTTGGATAGCCTGAATCTTTTTTCTTCCAAAGTTTTTGTATGTCTGCAGAAGTTTTCTTAAGTATTGTAGTACTTAAAAAATTCAAGACAAAGCTTAGTGTTAATGAAGATATGTTAAAATCTTTTCTCTCTCCACTCTCTGCCTAGAGAGAGAAACTGGAGTAAGTACAAACAGCTTCACTTGCACAGACTTTTGTTGGTGGCAGCAGACTAGTCATATAATAAATGATCTTTACAGAAAGCAATTAGATCAACATGGAGACAGCCCAAAATGTTAATGCACTGTAACGTGTTTTCTTATTCTTTGTCACTGGACTGCAGTATCATGAAGAATAATGACTTCTTCAAACAACCTGTAGCCAATTTTTCTTGCAAACACCAAAGCCCTAGAGCAACATACTGTCTGTGTGAGGATGTATATACAGTGAGAGAGTCTGAAGACTAACTATGGTTAAGATTCTTTAAGCAGACAGACCTTTACTGCAGCACACTGTCTGAGTTCATTAATGTTACTATTCTGTGACTTATTTTTTCCTAGACTGCTACTTCTAGAATAGTTCTCATCTTTTTTTCTTTAGCTTTCATACTCTAATAGATACAAGTTATTCCAGTGCATGTGTTGGAAGCTACTGGAGGATATTCAGGTCTATGTAAGATACTGCATTCAGTTCTCTTTCAGTGTAAACATCATTAAGGCACATCCTGTTGCAGCTTAATAATGTGATGGAAGTCTTATGTTTTTAATAAAACAGTTGCTGTTGCTAATCTGTGAGGGAAAGGAAATCAACAGAGTAGTGGTTAAACTTAGGATTTCAAGTAATTTTGTATAGCTCTGCAGTATCGATCATCGTTACCCTTGTCAGCAGCAAGATGTTTTCAGTCTAGGTCATCCTACTCAGTGCAAACCACAAAATGAGTAAGTGGTAAAAGATGATAGACTGTTCCTACTTGCGAAAAAAATCAAGAGTCATCAAGATTGTTAGAGGATGGGGGGGGTGGTACTTTGAGCTGTCCCGGTCTGAATGCCTGCTAGTGATTGGAGTGAGTTATGTGCCCTCCTGGAGTATATTTGCCAGTTTAGCTTCATCCAGAAGGAATCCAGTTTGTGTGCTCTGTCGGAGACTGTTCTGTGATATGAACCAAAGCGTATAAAGTGGGACAATCAGGAAATGTGCATCAAAGCCACATTCCTGATCTGAATTAAAATGCTAGCATAGATGCACCCAGAGACTGCATTTAAACTGCCATGTAAGTGCTTGATACCCATAGAATGTGCAATCTGAGGTTGAGCAAGAGTATTCAAAATCTCAAAAATTATCTAGCAGAGCTGGAAAAGATACAGAAACAGGTGTAATCAGTGTGGAAATGGCTTCCATGCAGGACAGACTAAAAAAATGTAGGACTTTCCAGTTAAGAAAACAGATGACTGATTGTAGCCTATAAAATGGTGTATGGTAAAGTGAAGGTGAAAGACATTCTTGCTGCCTTGCAGACCTGTAGATATGCATTTTCTGTCTTTGTGATTTGATTGATCAAATCAAAATACTGCTTAAGTATACATTTTGGACACATAGGAGAAGGTTGAGAATGCAGGAGAAAATGGAAACAGAGCAGAACCTGTTTTTCATTATCCATGAACTGTAACTCTTGAATGTGTACCATGACTCCTAGTTGCCTCTGTGCTGAACACTTCAGCTCATTTGAAGCAGAGTGCGGGAAGCTATCTATGCAAACTTTTGACAAAGCAGAGGAGCACAAATTGTGTATGAAATAGAAGCACTTTTAACTGGTGGATCATTAACAGGCCTCCGTGTTGTCTGTCTAGGTCAATGTCTTGAGAAGACAGCAGCGCATGATCAAAAACCGGGAGTCAGCCTTTCAATCACGGAAGAAAAAGAAAGAATACATGTTGGGACTGGAGGCGAGGCTGGAGGCAGCCTTATTGGAGAATGAGAAACTCAAGAAAGAAAACAGCACGCTGAAGAGGCAGCTGGATGAAGTAGTATTAGAGGTAAGAGATTGTCATGAAGATGTGATTTTTTTTATAAGACAGCTGCTCACATGGAAGGCACTTGAACAGAATCATGGAAATGTTGACTGGAAGACCTTTGGGGGTTTCTAGCCCAGCCTCCCACTCTGAGCAGAACTTTCACCAACTCCATGTCAGGACAGCTGTCACATTATTTATTTGATTTTTAATTCTTTATTTCATGACTCTTCTGAAGACTTCACTGAGAAGATAGACTGGGTAGAAGCTGAGTATAATATACAAATAAGAGAGTTTTAAGTAGTCCTGGCATGTATTCATGCATAATTAGCCAAATATAAATCTAAAAAGCAAGCATAATTTGGTGTATTTAGCTTCTGGCACAGCTTTGCATGTCTGTGCCCCTTTCTTATTGCATGTCTTCTCTGTTTTTTCCTGTCTAGAACCAGAAGCTCAAAGTATCATCTCCAAAGAGAAGGACCCTGTGTGTGATGGTGATACTGGCTTTCATAATGTTGAATTATGGTCCCTTGAGGTAAGCTGCCTAGGAATTCCTTTTTGCATAGCAGGTTTGCTGTGATGTGATTTTTGGTTGAATCTTTACTACAGGCAATGTTGTGTTTTAAAGCCTTGAGCTTGAAACCTGACTTCCATCCTTTATTGTCCTCCTGCACAGGAGAAGACTCATCTGTATAATGGTTCCTCTTTTGGAATCCTTCTGGAAACAAGAGCTAGATATTGTACTTTTAATGCCTCTTGGCTTGGCATTTTGTTAATCAGTACAGCCGTTTGTCTGCTCCATTTATACCTGAAGAGATTAAAGAGCTGTGTTTAGAAACCTGTTAGGAAAAAAGTCGCAGACTTTGAGAACTCATCTGCTTGTTTATACCGGTGCTAATCTCAGTAGCTATGAGTTTAAGCTGCTTCTAGTACCCAGTGCAGGAAATACCACTGTTTGCTCCAGTGGTTGCAATCCCGACCATTAGATGTGTCTAGACACAATCTTCCTCATTACAGTGTGAGCTCTGAATTACTTGTTTTCTAGATCTGATGAAGAGGTTGTTCCCTCTCCTTAATTAGTTGAAGTGGTAATCAAAAACCTCTCTTGTTCGAACAGTATTAGTGGAGCATAGGAATCGGAGAGCAGGAAGGAAATGCTGCATTACTTCCCAGACACTTTATAAAGAAGTCTGTGGAAGAGAGGAGACTAAAAAGGGGTATGTCTTGCACATATCTGTCTATTTAACCTGACTTCAGAACATAAGGACCTTTTATGTGAAGCTGTTCGCTTTTTCAAGAAGGAAGGATATTTCAGTAGATTCACAGTCAGCAGTGTCTCCATTTGTCCTTAAAACCCCACGCTAACTAAAGGAATGGGATAAATCTGGAGGAAGACTTTGTTTCTGACTACTTTTACAATGTTGGTGTTTGTATTTTTAATAATATTTTGTATTTTTAATAATACTAGAAAATTTGCTAAAGCTGTAATTACTTTTGAAGTATTTGTACTTACTGCAAATACTCTTTATCTCAGGCAGTGAAATACAGCTGGTAATTTTACTTTGATATGGTTGATTTTACGGTAGACTGTTTCTTAGTGCATTTAGGGTTTGTATTGGGATTTTTAGACTATCAGGCAGAAAGATCAGCTTCCAGATAGTAAGTGATTGATTTGTACATCCCATCTGTATTTGAAAACATTACCACTCACTTGAGAGACGCTGTTCTTACTTGCTGAGAACTAATAGGACCACTAAGCTTTTTGAAGCTGGAAGAAATGTTAGTTGCCTCCACATTACAGTGAGGAGTTGGAATGCATGAAGCACTTTTTAGTTTTGAGAGGCTTGGAAACATGCAGAAGATGAGCGGGAAGCCTTTTACCACAGTACTTTAAAATTCCTGTGTCAGCTTCTCTAACCCTGGGAATGAGTAAGGTGTTGAGCTTGATAGCAAGAAACGGCTGTCAAAGTAGACTGAAAGGTCCATTTGTGTTCATATCTTTGCAACAATTGGTAACTATAGAAATGTGACAGGGTTCATTTCTTGGCCTGTTTGATGTTTTATAAAGTACATAAGCAAAAAGAAATTCTTGGATGACTGGCTGAGCATGCTAGTGTAATCATTGTGCCTGAACTAGCTGGTCCGCATCAGTACTGGATTTAGGCAGTGAGGAGAAATGTAATTGCAAATTTGCAAGGAATTACTCTTATCTTTATGCTTTTTTTTTTCTCTAGCAGAAAAAATGCTTGCACTGCAATTAAAATACTAGACTGTATCAAGGTGGTGTGAATGTTGCTTGTGCAATACCCTTTGGAAGGCGCAGAATGTGGGATATACAAACCATTACTTAAGATTTCACTCCTCCCATATGCGTTTTCTTCCTTTTATAGTGGTGCCACTGAGTGTGATAGTCATGATTGCTGTTCTGCTTAGACCTTAACAACAGAAGCTTCCAATACACGTGATGTTTTTCAGTCCCTGCAGCTTCTTACAGAAATCAGGATTTTTTTTGTTGTTGTCAAAATATCCATGCTAACTTACAGTTCAGCAAAGGACTTTTTTTTTCCCCCCCAAGTTAGCTATCTGTGGAATACCTAATTTCTATGCAGAGATCAACTGGAAATAAATCTGATTTGGCACTTTGACAGTGTTGCCATTTTTTCTATGTAGGAAGTCATTTCACCTGCACACCTGTATGGTGGTATGACAGCATTCAGGCACAGCATGTTTTGATTCAAATACATTAGCAGTGAATATTTTATTTAAAACAAGTGAACTATTGCAAAGAGAGAGACATCCAGAAAAAAGCAAACGTGGGAATTTCAGCCCCTAAATTCTGTAGCAGATTTTGAAATTCCCTTAGCTGGCCTTAATGTAAGATGCTTCTCTGTTTCTAATCAGAAGTGATAGGATTCTTTGAAGGCTAGAGGTAAAACAAAAAAACCAGATACATTTAGGTTTTCTTTTTAGCTGACTATTTTCATCAAATCAGAGAAGTCAGGGAGGCGGTTGGGTTGTCTGGGGACAGGGACGTGAAGCTGAAGGACAGGCAGTCCTGCAAACCCCCATGGCCTGCAGCCTGTCAGTAGATGTGCAGTACAGTGCTTGGGTGCTTGGCATCCCACAAAAAACTCTGGATGGTTGGCTGTAATAGCTAGTTCTATGTCTTCCTCTGCATTAGTGGAATTAATGTGTTGTACTAGCAGTGGTTGACACATAATTTTGTTTATTGGTCTTAAGTCTTGTTGGTTGTGTATGTAAGTGGTGAGATGTTTGTGATGTTTCATGGAGGACTCTGAAGCTTATGAGAAGCAGTCCAGGATGTGACAGCCCTTGGCAAACAAGTTTAGCAGATAAAATTATTCTGCTGACACATTTTTTCATACTGACAAATATACTATGTGTATGGGTAATCTGTAACATTGAACATGGGAATATTGGAGTGGGGTTGAAAGTCTGACACTTTGTATTGACACAAGAAATCTGTTTGAAAATACTGGAGGGAGAACCTAGTCTAGTCTAATGGCCGATAAGCTTTTCAGAACATCCTTTAGTCTTGGAAATGGCACCATGTTATCTCTGATTAAAAAAAAGTCAAATTAAATATAAATTGAATATAAATGTCAATTGAATGCTTTCCAGTCGTGAAAGTGGCTTGTATAGAGTTAATGGTAACTCTGCATTATATTGTACTGTGTTCCTACCCTCTTCTGGGTTTGTTGATATTTGTATAGAAAACTGAAACTTTCAATTATTAAAAGCAGAAGTGATTTAGCAATAATTCTACTAGCGTAAGTTTCTATTTCATGTATTTGCTTTATACTAGAAGAAGGGCATCCAGGAATTTCCCATCTGTGTGTCAAGGAACTATTCTCTAATCTTTGTGAATTATTTGGAGTTGGATTTAACATTTCTAAAAATTTCCGTTTATTATTATTTAAGAATGATTTGTGAGGTGTATGAAGGAAAAAGGGTACATTTTTTTTTAACTCCTTGAGGAGGTCACCCCCCTTGCCTCAGTCTTAGATACCACGAGGTGCAAGACAGGAATTGGCAACCCACCATGTTTGCACAAAAGGCAGTGAGCACGCAAACCTTGGCGTGCAGCAGGGTTGGGAGCTGGAACCAGGACATCTGGAGGCAGGTATCTGTGGGAGGCAGTGTCTCCTGCCTTTGCAGTTGCCTTCTGTGAGAGCCAGCGATGGTCAGAATGGCTGCGTTCTGCTGGCATGGCGCCCCTGAAAGGTTGCTGACTTCTGGCATTAAGAAACATCTAATTAGCTGTGCATTTTTTTTATCACCTACAGCATGAAATCTGAAAATTTTCAGACTGTTAGAATTCCTAGATGCTTTTTGGGGTTTTTTTATTTAATTTCCATATTTGTGTTAGACTGTGCCTGGGTAGTAACCAGATGTGAAAATGTGTTAAACAAGCATAAACAATGCTGGGAAAAAAAAATGGAAACCAAGGACATGTTCTAGTCTAAACAATCCATGTATTTATTGTGGGAATATTTTTCTTTTGTTTCTCTTCCCTGTTCCCATTTGAATATAAATTGTCATGTATGTTTGTTTTTTTTAATGCAAGTCTACCTGTAATAGTGAAATATTTGCAGGAAACTATCCCAACTAATGTATAAAAAGTAGGGAAGGGAGAAGGATCACAGAAGATGCAAAAGGTAAATTTTCTGCATCTCTGCTTTGTGGGGCAGTAGCAGCAAAACATGTAAGCTGGGTACTTGCTAGTGTCCCTAGCATTATTTTCTTGGCTATCAAAAATGTTCAACTAGTTGTTTGGGGTTTTGTCCCCCTAATCATTCTGCTCAAGCTTACATGGTGGTCATCACCTAACAACAGTCTTAGAGCATTTGTAAAAGCCACAATGTGTCCTAACTACCATTTCAGATATTTAGTGGACAGAAAACAAAGAAAAATATGAAGTTGGAGAGAGGAAAGGCAGATCTGCGAAGAGATTAGAACAGGGGGTTTAAGAAGGTGCTGTGATTTTTTTTTTTTTTAATTAATTTTGGTTTTTCTTACAAGTTGGACATCTCTCTATTGCTGGAATCCCCTTCAAACTGGAAAACAGACTTGATGATGTAACCAAAAATTCTTAAGCTGTGTTTGTGGTGGAGGATAACTGAGGTAGTGATTGATGGAGCTAAGTAAAGCTGCTGCTTCAAAATCTTGTGTCCTGCTGACCTGCAGCAGCTGCACCAGAATTGCTGGCCTTGTGTAGCATCTCCTCTCTAGAGTGTCCTGATGGGTTTTCCTCTACTTTCCAGGACTATCTGGAAACTGAAGAACTTATTAAAAATTTAGACCCACTGAGCAATCTGCAAATAAAGACACCAGCCTGGGTAGCTGAGAAGCATGGTATTTCTGCTATTGTAAACTGCCACAAATGGAGAAGCGGTGATTTTTGACTCTTGAAAGACTTAGGGGTGTGTCCCATTTCTTGGAGTCGTAGCACAAACATTAGGGGGGGAAAAAAAACCAGAAGTGGTAAGATTAATCATCTTTTACTAAAAATGA